GGTGGGGATGGTGATGGTGAGGATGGTGAGGGTGGGGATGATGATGGTGAGGATGGTGATGGTGAGGATGATGATGGTGGGGATGATGCTGGTGAGGATGATGACTGGGGGTGATGATGTGATGAGGATGCTGCTTTGGATGGTGAGGATGATGACTGGGGAGGATGCTGCTGCGGATGGTGGCAGTGACACTAATGTTGACGATGATACTGCTGATGACTGCCATTGATCATGTTCCTCCTCTGAGTCTTGTGCTGAGCAAGTCAGTCTTACCTATACTGTCCCTCATCCTCACAGCTGCTTTTAAAGAAAACAATTACTTTTCCAGTTTTGCAGGTGGTGAAAGTGAGGCCTCAAGAGGTTAGATAAGTGGTCCACACTTACACAGGCTACACAGAGCTGGCAGGATTGGGCCAGTCTCTCAGTGAGCCTTCTTTCTGCTGGCTTTTTCAGTGTCTGCGTGAGTGGAGGGGCAGTGGATTGAAGAATATTCCCGGCAGAATATCATGTCAGCTGAGACATCAGCAGACTTTGGCGGAAGCTCTCGATGCTCCATACACACGGCTGGGCTACACCAGAGGTGCTCAGCAGGATTTCTCTTACACATAGTTTGAGGAATTCATGCACCAGCAATGTCCATAGCATGTACCGGAATCCGTCCGTGTCCATGCTTTTAGGCTGCTGATTTCCAGGTTTGGGCAGCTATAGTCTTAAAAATTATTCCACATTTTCTTCAGAAATCTCACATCACTGGTATGTTGAAGTGAGACTTAAAACATCTTCACAATAGGGGGTTTGAAAATGAGTCACAGAATTTTTAACTCAGAGCTGAAAGTGGAAGAAAAGGCATGATTAGATAGTTCCTCCTCAGTTAAGATACAGATTTCCTGAGAGCTTCAAAGAATATGAAGGTACAAGAAGGTAGAGTAAGCAGCAGTGATAATAGTTGCAGTCACAGCCGTTCACACTTCTGTGCCACGCACCATCACTGTCATCCTTGTTTTACTGATGACTTGAATGACTTGCTGAAGCAAAGGTCACTGTGCTTCTAGCCTCAGTGGTAGGTTAAACCCAGGCAGTTCCAGAGCCCGGACCCTCTCCTTTGGGACTTCATACCACACACTAGCCAGTCTCCGTGACACTTTTCTTCACCGCCCGTGTGTGTTTTCCGTCTCAGGCCCTCTTGATTATGGCATGGTCACCTCACCCTGGTGAGGAACGCCGCAGCGTCTGCAGTCGGGTGCTGAATAGCTGGAGTGCCTCATGGAAACCCATGTTTGCTATTATTTCTACAGGCTCTGTTGTTTGTGCTAACTACTGAAATATTCTTTTTCTTCTTCACCTTAATTTGATTCAGAACATAAACAAACCGAAAATAGATTGTTTATCCAAGCCGACTGCACAGATCACTCTGCTGTGATTGTGTCGTGCACCGAGCCTTGTAAGCCCTGCACCTGGAGCTTCCAACGCAGCGTTAATTAAAGGCCCTTTGAGTGGAAGCTCCGGTGACTGCACTCGTAGCTGTGAGGGGAGAGCTGCTCGCAGGCACGTAATGAGGGATTTGGACTCAGATCCCCAGCCCCCGCACGGTGGCCTGACCAGGTGTTCAGAGACAGCCTTTGCAGAAGGCAGCTCGGGCTGAGCTGGAGATTGACACTTACACCCAATTTGTGGGAAATTGCTGGAGGGGCTGTTTGTTGTGGGGGCAGCCACTGTCGCGAGCACCGTTCCTCCCGCCCGTGCTGTCTCACACACTGTCTTTCTAAAGGGAAGGATGGTTGATTTCAGCTGGTCCTTGGACAAAATTAAACAGTTTGGATGATACCTAAGTCACATCACTTTATAAATAATTAAAATATCTTAGAAATAATGGCTGGGCATGGTGGCTCATGCCTGTAATCCCAGCGCTTTGGGAGGCTGAGGCAGGCGGATCACTTGAGGTCAGGAGTTGGAGACCAGCCTGGCCAATAGGGTGAAACCCCGTCTCTACTAAAAATATAAAAATGTGGTGGCGGGTGCCTGTAATGTCAGCTACTCAGGAGGCTGAGGCAGGAGAACTGCTTGAACCCAAGAGGTGGAGGTTACAGTCAGCTGCAATTGTGCCACTGCCCTGCAGCCTGGATGACGGGGTGAGACCCCAAGTTCATAGATGAGAACTGAAATTAGAGCCTGTATCAACCCTGCTGGGCACTAATCTCAGCACTTCGGGAGGCTGGATCACATGAGGCCAGGAGCTTGAGACCAGCCTGGCCAACATGGTGAAAACCCATTTCTACTAAAAAACCACACACACACACACACACACACACACACACACACACACACACACACCCACCCACCCACCCAGATAGCCAGATATGGGGGTGTGTGCCTGTGCTCCCAGCTGCTTGGGAGGCTTAGACTTGAGAATCGCTTGAATCCAGGAGGCAGAGGTTGCAGTGAGCCGAGATCACACCACTTCACTTCAGCCTGGGTAACAGAAGGAGACTCTGTCTCAAAAAAATACAGCAAACAAACAAACGCAATCTATATCAACCCATTCCACAACTTCCAGGTTGCTATTGAAAAACCTATCCCCAGAGCATGAACCCAAATATTTTCAGAAATAGCCAGACTTGGGAGTCCGAGCCCCGCCACCTCACGGTCAGTGAGGGCTGCGCACCCTCAGCTTGATGCCCAGGTGTGCACCTCCATTGACACGACACTGGTCATGTGCTCTGAGGAGGGACGAGTAGAAAATACGAGCGGATGGGATTTAAACTGCGTCATCCACACCCCCATGCAGCCTCCAGGGAGCTGGGCCTGTGTGTCCAGGATTTGAAAGTCTCCAAGCTGGAGATGATTAGCACTAAGCTTGTCCATGACATTTTGGTGAAGCCCAAGTCACAGGCAGAACATGGGATTTCTCACATTTTTACAGCTGCCCTAGAGGTGAGGACAGCTGGGCCTTGGTTTGTCTGTTGACACAAAGTGTGATGAGGACATGTCCTCCTGGGGAATTTTACTACATGAGTGAGGAGAAGATATAGACAGAAATTCCATGAAAGACCACGTTGGCCAGGGCATTGATTAGTAAGTGATGTGATGGGTGATTATTGAGTAGGAGACCCTGGCATCTTCCCCGCTGCAGAACCTTACAGCTGAAGGAGTAGGCTGCAGACATGTTTCAAGGCATCAGTGAAGGAGTTGGCTTGAAGACCTCCAGACACAGCCCTGAGGCCTCTGCTGAGCGTTGCTGAGAGATGCAGCTTTTGGGGAGCCGCTGTTTGGGGTTAAAATGAAGACCAGTGCAGGCAAAAAATACCAACAGACGTTTCTTCAGAGAAGATGTACAAGTGGTCAGTAAGGGCACGCAAAGGTGCAGCAGTATCGTGAGCCACGGGCGGGGGTGGGGGCACAGGGTACGTCACCGAGCCTCAGGAACGTACCTGGGACCAGCTCCTCTCGTTGCTGAGTGATCAGCTCCTCTCACTGCCGCGAACGCAGTGACCCGGAGCCGCTGCGCAAAGGACCTTTGGTTACAGCTGCGTTGGAGGCTCCAGGTGCAGGGCCTACGAGGCTCCGGGTGTTACGCAAGTGACACAGCGAGATATCCGGCTCCAACCACCGGGACAACCACAGTAAAAACGACGGACGATAGCAAGTGTGGGCAGGGACGCAGAGGAGCTGGGGTCTGCAGAGTTACTGGTGCGACTGCTCGTGATGCTGCCGTGTTTGGGAGCGCCTCATCAGTTAAATCCGAGTTACCACATGACATCCTCCAGTAAACCCAAGAGCACTGAAAGCACATTTATACAAACACTCATAAATGAAGACTCATGGTGGCATTTCAAAATAGCCAAAAGGTTGAAAAGAGCAAATGTCCATCAACTGATGAGTGAGTTTTTAAGATGTGGGATGTCCATGCATGAGGTAGCTCTCGGCCTTCAGGGGAGGGATGTCCTGACCCAGGCATGGCTCCGGCCTGGCTGCACCTGAGGATGTCACGCTGGGGAAATGAGGCAGGCAAGGTGCCACACCTGGTGTGATTGCGAATCCATTTACAGGAAACGTCCAGGAGAGGCTGAATCCATAAAGACAGAACGCAAATGAGCGGTGCCAGTGTGGGGAGGGGTGGAGTGGCTGCAGCCTTTCTTTTCGGGTGATGCGGATGTTCTCGGCTTAGTTGTGATATTTCACAACTCTGTGAATACACTAAAAACTGCTGAAGTGGGTGAATTATCTCCATAAAGCTGTTGTTAAAAAATAACATAAGAGCAACTGCGAAGTAGGGACCTGGGTTTGTCAGAGCGAAGAGAGTCCTGTTTTGGCTTTATGTTTCAGAGACGTTCAGGGCGGTTTAGGACCAGGACTGCCCTGAGTCTGGGGGGCATCTTGGCACGCGTGGCTGATGCTGGAAACATGACGCTGACCCTGTTTGCTCCCCTCTCCCTCCAGGGTGACGACCCCTTCTCCGAGAGCATCCTGACCTACGTGGCTCACACGTCTGCGCTGACCTACCCTCCTGGGCCCCGGGCCCAGCTCCCCGAGGACCTCCTGCCTCGGACCCTCAGCCAGCTCCAGCCAGACGAACTCAGCCCTAAAGTCGACAGTGGTGTAGACAGACACCATCTGATGGCAGCCCTCGGTGCCTTTGCTGCCCGAAGGCCCCCAGCTCCACCCGGGGAGGGCAGCCAGGAGCCACAGTACCTTCTGCATGCACCTCCAAGGATGCCCAGGCCCTTGCTGGCACCAGCCACCCCCCAGAAGTGGCCTTCACCTCTGGAAGACCCCAACGACTCCCCCAGCACTGGCGAAGGTGAGTCAGCCCTGCCTGGTGTTTCTTGTTTGCTGATGGTCTCCGTCCGGCCCCTCCCAATGGCAAATGTGCCATGTTCTTCCCACACGTGGGTCTGCACACTGCACTCCCCCTGAGGACGCATGGCAGGAATAGGGCACTGTGGGGGTTAGGGTCCCTTTGGTCCTCACTCCCTCTCTGCTCTGGAAAGGAGCATGTGGTCATTTCATGACCTGAGAACACAGTGGCCAGTGGGGGGAGGAGGTGCTCCTGAGGGTGTGGGGGAGGGGGAGGCGTTCCTGAGGGTGTGGGGGAGGGGGA